AAAAAAATATGTTTATTGCCAACCCTCCCAGCCCAGCAAATGTCCTGTGAGGAAGAGGAGGTGGAGGAGGGTGGCAGTGGAGAAGGGATGTAGCCACAAGTGACTTGCTATGGGCAGGGACCTGATGGTGCAGGATGTGAAGGGCTCTGGAGCTTGTGGGAGTGCAAGGAGCATTTGGAGACAGGGTGTTCAAGGTACCGGAGGAATGGGTTAGCTTTGAGGGGTGCAGCATGGGTTGCTGAGTGTGATACCCCTCCTCATAGGAACGGGCAAAAATCCGGACCAAGTGAGAAGCAGGGCCCAGGAGTGAGGAAGACTCATGTGCTGCTTTTCTGTGCCAAGTCATGCAGTGCTGGTTACCTGAGTAGCTGCGTGTGGTCAGACCTCTCTGTTTCGGGATACGTGCGTCTCTCCATGGTGTTTATTTTCCTTCATCTCTTTGTTGCTGAAATATCAGTTTGCAAATTGCTCTTGGGCATGCTTTGGGCAGCTCGTGGCTGCTGAACTTTCTGTCTTCCCCTCCGAGCCTGGTGTCCTTTGTCACGTGTGCATGAAAGGCAAATTCCCGAGCCCTGCCTGCCCGCCACAGGCATCTTCTGAGCCTCCGAGGCAGGCACGTCCGGTGTCGTCTAGTGTTTACCAAACCCCTAATTGCACCTTAGGCAGAAAGCACCGATTTACTCCCTGCTATTTTTATCCTGCCTCCAGAGCTGCAAAAGAGATGGGAGCGCAGCCTCGTTTATGTCCTTTGCTGCAGTTGGAAGGCAGCTGTTTGCAGCTGGGCTAGCACAGAAGCTACTGGAGATGCATAGGGCTGATCTACACATGGTCCTAGGAAAGCTACAGCAGCAGATGCTTTCCTGATTTACTGTTCAGTGGAGCAGTCCCTCCATGGCTTGACTTTTTTTTTCTTTTATTTTTTTCAGTTTAATTTCGGATCCAAAGCATGAAGTGATGTTCTGTGATTCTGCCACTTAAGTGAAATAGGGACTACGACCCAGATCTGGAGTGTTTTCTCTGCCTTTCTGGATTGGCCCTTCTTCAGCGATCAGGACTCGAAGAGGCCAGTTGTGTTGTGCTCTTGGTGCATCACACCACGGCAACATCTCTGTGTCCTGGTACAACAGCGAAGACCAGGTTGAGAATGAAGAGCAATAGTGGGGAGGAATCTGCAAAGGAAGGCATAAACTGGAAAGTTAACATGTACTGGAGAATCCATGCAGCGTCCCGAGAGGGTGCAAGGCCGTGTGTTCTGCCTTGCTTTTCATTCTGCACTACCAGCTGCTATTAATACGTGAGCGCATGAGTGTGAAAGTGCGAGCAGAAAGCCTGGAGGAAATGCTAGGGATTTCCGGCAGTTTGAAGCTTTCGGGAGGAGAGATTGAGCCAGCGTGGAGGAGAGCCCCTCCAGGGGCTCATCTTAAAGACACATCCTTCCCCCGAGCAAAAGGCAGGGCGGAGGGAGATGGGTGGAAGTGTCCGAGCAGGATGCTGGGATGGCAGGGATGTCCTGCTGATGTCTGCTGCTTCTGCTGGACTTTCGTGTGCTGTTCGGGGTTGTGATGGACCTGGAGCGCTGGGCATGATCTCTGGCGTAGCAAAAATAATATCTTGAAAAGGGAGGATCAGTGTGAAATGGGTCTGGTTTCTCATCAGAATATTCAGGGCGAGGCAAAATAGCACTTGGCAAAGATGGGCTGGTAGCCCTGTTCTGGGACTGCCCAGAGCCAGTCTGGGATGGGGCAGCTCAGCGCCCGGCAGGATGGGCGAGAGCAAAGGAGGAGTGAGGAGGCCAAGAGCGGGGCCACAGTGCTCGAAAGAAAGTGCCTCCCTTGGAAAGAAGGACATCTCTTTCATTAACTTTTCATAAAAATAGAAGAAAGAAAAAAATGCAGCCAGCATTTCCTTTTCTCCCCATCCCCAGGGCTCATATCTGTAAATGATGGGTTTTTGGAACAAATACTGAAGGGAGGCTCAGGTAATGTCATCTTCTGATCCAGCCTAGAGGTAAATGGGGTAACACTTGAATGCACTGTTTGAGTTTGAACCTGTGTTTCCTCATCTGCAAATGCTTTGCTGAGTATAATTTGGCTTAGATACGTTCCCCTCCGTGTTTGCCTTCTCTGCCTCCCTCCCAGCTCACTAGCATTACCGATAGCTGAGCTCGCAGAGGAGCGGGTTAAATGCCCGTGTTGAGTCCCTGCCTCGCCAGCCCCTCCGGGTCTTTGGGCTGCCCCAGCCATTCCCCAGTGCCAATGTCAGTGCAGTCCGAACCTTTGATCCATGCGCTGACCCGCAGCCTTCATCCTTTCCAGCTCACCCAGCGCCAGAGCAGGGGTTATAAGGCGATAGATATTGGCCAGTGAAAAGCCAAGGAAGGTTCTGTCAAGTGTGGGCTCTTAATTCTAGGATAGAAGACGAGGTAGAACAGAAATACTTTGCAGTGTATCCACCTATCCACGGCCATGGAGATTTTTTTTCCTGTCTCCACAGCGACTTCTCCTTGTACCTACGTACACCCATGCAAGCAGGCGGTTCATGGCTTAGCAAAGGGCTCTGGTGCTGCTGGGCCAGCAAGTGAAAGCTGCAGGAGGCAGAAAATCCCAGCTCAGCCTCTGGGAGGGCTTGGCTGCCGTTCTTTCCTGCAGTTTCCTTCCTAGCTTTCTGTGCACCTGGCAGAGCTTCCTGCTGCTGCCTGGCGCTGGGAGGTTTGAACCTGCTGGGGGGCAGAGGACGCGGGCGCTGCCGCGTGGGACCCGCGTCCCCAGCTCCTGCTTGGTTTCAGCTGCCCTTTTGCAAAGGGAAATGGATTTTGTTTTTATGGTGGATGGTGGTTGCTTCCTAAAAGCTGCTCCTGACTCTTCCCTGTCCAGCCAGCTCTCCCTTGAGCCAGGGAAGGTTCCTGTCTGTCCCCTTCGCAAACCTTTGATATTTGCCTGGCTCCCGTCCAAGCATTTTAAAAGTGATATAGAAAATGCAATATAATTTATCTTGCTCTGTTTAGATGCATACAATACTTAGATCCCCCAAAGCCTGTTCAAACAGGAGCTCAGTAAGCTGCTCAGACTGAGGCAGGCGGGAGGATCCCGCTCCCTGTCCTGTGGCTCCGGGCACCAGCTCTGGTGCGGGTGCCCCGCACGGGTTTGCTTGGAGCCGTGGGCATGGCACGGGCAGCGAGCCCCAGCGCCGGGAACCGCCGCCACCTGCATGCCTGGTGCCCGCAGGGTGGTGGCACTGCTCTGTGGGGACTCCTTTACACAAGGACACACCGTTGTGTCTGGAAAGTGAATCCCTTAAAACTTGCTTGGAGACGTGAATTATCAATAAATGCATCTATCTTGAGGTTTTGTGAATTTAGAGTTCACTGGCATTAATCATAATTTGGAGTCACTTCCATGAGTGTTGATCTACCCTTGGAGGAAGGAGGTCTTTGCTTTGTCTCTCCGACTTGCCTGGGTCTTGATGGGTTAAAATCTACAGGCTGAATCATGTGTGCTGCCCTCATCTCTTCTTTCTTTCCATTCACCTTCCTCCTTTTTTTGATACTTCCCCTGAGCTTTTCCCTTCCTCTTCAGCCTGAGCCTGGTTCAGACATAAGGAGTATGTCAATAAAGTCTGCTTGGTGAAAGCCAGGGGTTGGATTTTGGGCTGCATGTAACCATGTGGCTCCCCTGGGTCATTCTTTTTGTCCAGCACCTTTTAAATAGCAGGCAGGAAATATATGGCTTCAGATTGTGCATGGGAAACCATTGCTTATTGTCCCCTCTGCAATGCCTTGGGCACTGGCAGCAGGAGCAGGCAAAGCTCTAGCAGCAAGTAGAGAATGAACGGGAGTTTGAGAAGGAATCTGAACCTTCCTGCCTAGGGACTAATTCAAACTCAAGCCGTGGGTATCAGAGTGAACCTTTCCTGGGGAATGGGCTGTCTTGGAACTACTTCCTACCAACTTCCCTGTGTCTGTTGCAGCAGCAGCTGCTCCAGGCTCTGGGATGCTGGGCAGACCACAGTGCTCATCTGAGCCCTTGTGCTGCTTTCTTTGTTCCTCCCTCTGGTTTGGTGACGATGATATTCCATCAGCTGGTGTAAGGGAAAACATACCAGTTTGCCCAGTTTGCTGCCTTTTACTTCAATTACTTTTTTTTTTAATATTCCAACCAAAAAGCAATGCAAGATAAAAACCAGGCTACAAAATCCAAAGCATTTGTCCCAGCGGTTCTTTTAACGCCTGGATTTCTTCTTTGGAAGCTTATTCATCCAGCTGGGAAACACTCTGTTCTTCTGCCCATGCTGTGGAGGAAAGTGCCAGGTTGTGCTGTAGCTCTAACCCGTGTAATTTTCCATGTGAACTGCAAGTATTTTAGGGCATGGAGTGTCATGTGTAGGGCTCCGAGGGTGCTACTGGGTGCCCGCTGGCGTGTTTGCCCGCTCAGAGGGGCAGGCAGGTGTCCTCACATCTGGCTTGTTGCTCCTGGCTCCGGATTATCCCTGGGAATCAGCTGGGAGCGACGCAGGGGCTTGGCTGCCCGCTTTGCTCTGCAGCGTTGCTGTCCTGTGCCGGGGTCCCCATGGTGTTTAGTGGAGCCAGGGCCCCCCGCGCGGTGCCGGGACACGCTGAGCCTGGGGGCAGCGCCAGCCCCGCGCGGTGCTGGGGAAGCTGCTGAGCCCAAGCGCCTGCCGCCGTCCCTGGCCACTGGCCAGGTGGAAGTTTCCACCACGACCAACCCATTGCGGCGGCCGGGGCGCCAGTGCATCCCTGCATCCCAGCCCGCAGGGCTGCTTCGTGCGCTCCACGGGAAAGAGAAGGTGCCGTCAAAGCCCAGCCCTGCTCCACAGCGGGACTGACTTTCGCGCTCGCATTGGGGCTGGCTCCGACCATCCTCTCCCGGTCACCGCCGCGTCGCCGAGGGGCTGGCCCGGCCGCTGGCTGCCGCGCGAAGGCGAATCCAGGACGCCCGTGCGGGATGCGGTAGCAGAGCTCGCCCGGCGGGAGCGAGCGTGTGCGGCGCGCGGGTGCTGCCCGGTAGCCGCATCCCGCGATGCCGAGCCTGGCAGTGAAGTCAGCCTTCATCAGCCGAATAGTTTATGCATGAATCGAAACTTCAGAGCTGCCTGGGTGGGGGAACGAGCAGGATCTTTGCTCTTTTAAAGCACTTGGAGTCGAGGAAGGAGGAGGGGAATAGAGGAAGTAGCAGCAGAATAAGCCCAGGGAAGCGGGGAGAGATTTGAGAAGCTGCAGGAGTTGTTCGCTCTGCTCTTGCAAGGAGCCAAGTTCCTTAAGCATCTCCTGGCGGATACTAAGAGAGAACTGTGGAGACCGGAGCGTTCCCCTGGACACTTGCGTGCTGTAGCTTTAAGACTGTTTTACAGAGGACTTGGGATTTTTCGGTTTTCCTGCGCCTGGTGGAGTATTCCAGGGAGCTGCAGAGTTTTGGGGTCATGCACCCCCTTTTTCTGTTGTCTTCTGCCTTTCTCTTTCTCTCTTGCTCCTTTTCGTTTCAAAGGGACAAAGCTACTTCAGTTTGGAGCACAAACATATGATCAGCACATGGAAATGTGGTAATTTGGATGCATTCATGATTGCAACAGATTGAAGAAATTAGACCAGACAAAGAGCTTTTTTTGGAAGAGGAGGAGGAGGAGGCAAGGCAAGGAGGGAGGGAGAGTGGGTGAAAGAAGGGGACGCCACCAAAAAAAGGGACGGCCGTGACACGCGGATGCTAAATATATCCCGTAGTAATGGAGAGGGACCGGATTTCAGGTAGGCTATTGATCTTTTAATATGTTATATCTTGCCTCTGCTCTCCTGCCTCCCCAATAGCTTCTGCACTTTAAGAAGAAAAACGGCCACACTCTGGTTTGATTTCAGTGAATTCTATTTTTTTTACAACGTTTCCTTTTTACTTTTTTCCCTTTTTTCTCTTCCCTTTTTTTTTTGTCTCCCCCATCCTCCGGGGTCCTCTAGACAGAATGTGGTTCCAGCAGGAGCCTGGGGGGAGCGCGGGAGAAAAAGGAAGGGGGAAAAAAAAAAAAAAAAGCTGCTTGGCTGGGTCTGGATTTCATTTGAGTCTCGCTCTCCCCCTCTCCGCTCCCATTTGCCGCGCGGCGCGAGGGGGATGAATGCTGAGCCTGTTAGCTCAGCGCTCCGAGCTGGGAAGAGGGAGGAAAATAGCCGAGCTCTTGGCATGGAGATGCATTGCTCTTCTGAAGGTTGGCTCCTCTGTTTGGGTGACTGTGTGTTGTGGCTGCGCTTTCTCTGCCTGCCAAAAAGCCTCTTCCCCCTTCTTTTGCCCTCCAAAAATGCCTCCTTTTGCCGGGCGGGAGCGGGACGGGGCCGGTTGTGCAATACTGGAGCGGGCAGGCGGTGTGGCCGGTGCTCCCCCTTGCTGACCAAGCCTGTGGGTGTTGGTGGGGCAGGCAGGGGGCCGAGGGCGCTTAAAAAGAGCACGGGATAACTCCCTTCACCTC